TTACATGAAAATCATGACAGACAACATAGCGTGCATGTTTTATATATATAAATCAACAAGGGGGCACCAGATCATCCTCCCTGTTCATGGAAACACTAAAGCTATGGAATTGGTGGATTTATCACAATATTGTCATTTCAGCCACTTACCTGTCAGGAGTACAAAATATAACAGCAGATAGTCTCAGCTGCAAGTTCTCACATGACCACAAGTGGGAAATGAACCCAACAGTACTCCACTGCATATTTCATCACTAGGGAACCCCAACAGTAGACTTGATTGCCACTTACCTGAACAGGAAATTCCCACTCTATTGCTCCAAGCCCGGTCTCGGAAAACACTCCTTAGGAGACGCTCTTCTTCTCCCATGGCTCAGAGACCTTCTATACACTTTTCCTCCATTTCCTCTGATGCTGAAAATCTTGTTTAAAAAATAGAGAGTAAAAGCAAAAGTTATACTGATTGCTCCCACCTGGCTGAGACAGATGTGGTACCAATACCTGGCACAGCTAACAATATGTCCACCAATCCCTCTTCAGCCCACTCCTTACCTCCTCTCACAGAACGATGGACAAATCCTCCGTCCCAGCCTACGGTTTCTGTGGCTCAAGTCTTGGCTTCGTCATGATTCCAACACACGCACAATTGCTGCTGTAAAAAGGTGCAAGAAGTGTTATTACGCGGGAGAAAGTCAGCTACCTGCCGCACTTACCTACAAAAATGGGGGGAAATTCCAGGTTTGGTGTAATTCCAAATAAATCATCCCAGTATCTTCCTCCCTCCCCTTTGTGCTGGACTACATACTAGGCCTCAAGAGGATGGGGCTATCTCTAAGCTACCTCAAGACAGAGACAGACGAGACCCGCCACCAGCCTGCCGCCAACTTATAGATGGATCCTTCATTTTCGCCCATCCAGTGACACAGATTTCTCAATGGCATAGGAAACCTATTCCCATAAACCAGGCACCCCACATGGGACCTAAATCAAAATCTAAAGAGCCTAACTAGACAGCCCTTTGAACCTGTGATCACTTGTTCTCCTCCGCATCTATCAATTAAGACAGCGTTCCTGGTAACCGTCACAGAGAACAGCGCAAATAGCGGCATTAATGGCATACCGCCACGTCACAATTTTCTTTAAAGATAACTAGAGCCCTGGAAGTCTGTGGATATCTGCATCCGTGGATGTGGATATCCGCAGACCGTATTTGTATTTGCACATACAAATTTTGTTTCCGCGCAGGGTTCTAAAGACAATGTCAAGCTGAGGCCGCACCCAAAGTTCCTCCCCAAGTTTACCTCCTCTTTCCACGTGAACCAGTTCATTCACCTTCCCACATTTTACCCAAAGCCTCACCGTGACAACAGGTAGGCTCTCCTGTATACGCGTGATATTAGAAGAGCCTTGGCCTTTTATTTGGACAGGACAAAGGCCTTCAAGAAATCTATTGAGCTCTTCCTCTCAATTGTGGACAGGTCAAAAGGTGCAGTGATATCACTGAGACTTTCCAAATGGGTCTCATACTGTATTAATTCTTGCTATCGTGCTTGCAATTCGATACCTCCATCCGGAATCCATACACATTCTGTGAGATCGGTTTTCACCTCTATCACCTTCCTTAAGAATGTTCCCATCCCAGAAATCTGCCAGGCAGTGACTTGGGCATTTCCTCCATACTGTGGCAGAACAATATGCAATTACTAGAGACTTAGCTTCCAATGGTATCTTCGGCTCCACAGTATTGTTATCTATAACAGTCTCGACTCCAAAACCGCAGCCTTCCATCGGGAATACTGCTCGGGATTCACCTACAGTGGAGCACCCATCGGGACACTTCTTGAGAAGAAGAAGTTATTCACTTTGAGCAGTAACGATGGATCCTAGTTGTTCAGTACACAGGCACTACTTTATTGATTTACACCTTTCTTCTATGAGGGAATTGCTGTAGTATCTTTTAGCATAGTATGGTAGAACTGAGAAGGAAAAGAAGAATTACCATGAAGGAACCAATTATTGCTCCTTGATATGATTGACTGGGAGCTTAAATTCAGAACTTTGCTAGACACTAAAAATCATGGTCTTAATACAGACGCTGGATTTATGGCTTATTACAACAGTCCGTAACCCACTAATCCCACTTTTTGTCCTGTAATTACCGGGGTGTTAACACACCATTTCACCTTGAATGGTCCCTCAGAATATGTGCTAATTACTTATGCTAAACAATCTGTTGGACCTTGTAGTTAGCTGTGACACTCTCAGTAAGGACGGTTCCCAGACCAGAGGAAGAGCTCTGTGTAGCTTGAAAGCTTCTCTCTCTTGCCAGCCGAAGTTGGTCCAATAAAAGATATTACCTCACCCACCTTGTCTGACTGAAAACATGTCTCTTTCCTCCTTCATGAAATCTGTTAAGATCCTTTTGGAGTCCTACTGTTTAAGTTCTGAAGGATGCTTAGTTTTAGTAGCCAGGACTGGTCCAGAAATAATGTATAAGATTTTTATAAATGGATAAAATATCTATAACAAATGATCTACCTACAGAAAATTAAAAATCATCAACTTCAGTATTCAGAAAAGGCATGTGTGGCTTAATGAAGGCATAGAGCTGTGTGTGCTAATAATTTGGAGAAGTTAGTGGTTGAAATAGAAAGTCATATATAGAAAATTCATATCTGCTTGAAAATTTTTGAGTACAATGTGAGACATCTGCATGCTGACTAATGACATAATTAGAGAAAATACAATTCTCCACTGCTGCATTAAATTCAGGTTTAGTTTGTCAGTATTCCCAGTGTGAAAATCCTCTGCCTGTCTGCAGGGGGAGAGGCAAAAGATCCCAGAGCCTCCTTTTCAATAGATTACAGACCTATTTCCATGTACTGTATTTGGAATTATCCTGAACAATTGTGAGGGATAAAATATAACACACTCTGGCAATAAACAAAACTCTCTTTGTAAACTTGGATGCATTGTGGTCAAGAATAGCATATTAAATATGGCTTGGTAGAGAAAAAGTTGTTCCCCAAAAAGCAATAGTTGGATCATTTTCTCCCATATTGGCACCATTGTTCCCAGGAAAAACCTTGCCTATACTTTTTTCTGTATTTTTCCCATAGTGGCACTTCCTGGTTCATCTGAAAATTATTTTTCTTTGTATTGTGCCTATTGGTGCCAGTCAGAGATCAGGGCCCCATTGTGTGAGGCACTGTACAACATACAACAAAAAGATGGCCGCTGCCCCAGTGAGCTTGCAGTCTAACTCTAGTGCCATGAATACAAGTCAAGAGTCAACTTATGGGTATACTTTAAATTTGTGTGTGCTTCTGAATCTGTGAACTCCTGGTCTGTTTGTTGATATCCTCTTATACAATTGGGTTAGGTCATCTCATGGTGTGCTCCCTTTTACAGATACATCTCAAGGCTGTTCTCTGTTTTATTCCCCTCTGTGGTCTTTTGCCCCAGAAGAGAGGGTGAAATAATTTTTTTTGTATTTGTAGTTTATGATTAGTATCACTACGCACAGTAACATTAATCTATTTGATGGGAGCACAAATCCACACATTTGATTTAGTACAGAGCTTTGCTTCACATAGTCATCATTTCAAGATTAATACATACTTATTTTGAAGCATCAGTGTAAAAAAAAAAAGTTACGGTTATTCTTGAAACGTACTACATAGCTTAGTATTTCTTAGCTATAGCAGGATAAAACACACCTATAGAATATAATAATTCTACTAGCTGACTGTCAAATTTGAAGCATTCATTTAATCATTACAGATTTCCAGTATGTATTGAAACTGAGTGGTTAAAATAAACTTCCAAAAAGGGAAGTGAATGAAGTGTGGGACATTAAGGTTATCACCACAAAGAACATTGAATGCTTGGTTATCTGCCCAGAAGGTAGACACAAAAATAAACTGAACTTGTCTTTATATTTAAAGTGCAAAAAAAAAAAAAAAAAAAGTAGAAGTGAAACGTTTTGAAATTTGCTGGGGATGTTTAATAAACTCTGATAGATTATATGAAACCGTCAAGTCAGATCTGGAATTTAACTGTAGCTGGTAGCCAAAGCAGTTTCTTGTTTCAAATACTTTCAGTATCATTTGAACTCTATAATTGAATACATGGTTCTGGCTAAAATTCCTGCTGTTCTAAATTAGCCGTGACAGTATAAAACATTCCATATTTTTTGTATTAGATTTGAAGCAATCTGGTGGGTGTGCTCTTCTTTCCTTGCTTAATTTTTTTATTAAAATAGAGTATTGAGAAATGAGATGAGTGTGCCTGCTTGAGAGATGAGAAGATTTTCTGCACTTCTCTTGAACAAAAACCTCATGGCTTTTTAAAATTATGAATAACTGTAAAAATCTGAACCAAGGAGCACCTTCAGGATTCATGGCCTGTTTAAATTTAGGAGCAAAGGGTGCTTGAGTGACCAGAAGCATGAGTTTTACTGACTTTTGGCTCTTAAATCACTTAGATGCTTTTGAAAATCCCACCCAAATTAAACTCAACAATGAATAAAATCTTCATTATAAGACCTTATATTGAAGCAAGCTTCTGTAATCAAAGACCAAAATACTAATTTTCTAACTTTTTCCTAAATCTTATTTTTACTGGAGATCCTGACAGTGCTCTAAAAATAATAATAGCACATCCAGAGGACTTTCTCATTTCAAAGTGCTGTTCAGACATTCATTTGTCACAACACCCTGGTGAATTAGTTATCTCTGTTCACGCTTGGTGGAAACTGAGAGGTTGTGTCATAACCAAAGCTACCCAGAAGATCAGTGGGGCAGAGCCAGTAGTAAAACTGTTCCTATTTTAGTCCCGTCCTTGTTTCTCTAGATTATGCTACCACTAAGGTTCATTTAAGTGATGTGAGTTTATTTTAAATGGTTTTTGTCACAGACCACAATTGTTGTATAACCTTCATTATTTCCAGCTTTTCCTGGTAGTTGTTTTCTTTTAACTAAATTTTACTGTTTCATAAAGCGAGTGATAGACAATCAAGCAGAGAAATTGAAAGAACTGGATAAAGAGATCCGCCCCTTCCGACAGAATTGGGAGGAGGCAGACATCATGAAGAGCAGTGTGGAGTCCCTCCAGAATAGAGTGAGTGAACTGGAAAGTGTTGATAAAACTGCAGGACAAGGAGCTCGAAATACAGGTGAGTGTAAGCACAATGAAGTAAAGTATTGCCCAGCAGCTACTGTAAAAAAGCCAAATGAGCTATTTTGAATGTAACTCCCTTTGTGATTTTCCTTTGAAAACATTGGTAACGCTGATCCTTCAGTTTCTTGAAAAGGAAATTAGGTGTGTAATCTTTTTGTTAATGACATGACACTTTCCCTCCTAGCTATACCTTAGACTTCTTTCCTATCTTACTTTGTTCTCTTGAACATAGTATTGATTACACTGAAAGTTAATTGCAAATATTTCCTCAGCTGGTCTTAGAAAGCTAATAGATTCCAGTAGCTTCTTAATAAAATATTTTCAGTGTATTGACAAGTCTTTCTGGGGTAATATTGTCCCAGTGAACAGATCAGTTATTTTTATTCACTTGAAAATATGCTTCCAGATGTCAGTGTACAGTCTTTTATGTCTAGTACAGAGGAATGTTTGATGTAAAGAAAACAGTGAGATCTATTTGAATAATAAGGTCATTGCCTCACACATTGAACAAGGTGATGAAAACCACAAGTTAGCAGTACAGTGTAGACCATTCTTAAGGGTTCAGGCAATATTGTTTGGTTCAAAGACAAATTACTATGTAAAGATAATTTTAGCAAAAAACTCCCTCATGTAAGTACCTCTACTAATCCATACTGCCTATTTTTGTTATCGTTGCCAGAGTGTAAAATACAAAGGAATAGTGATGACTATTATGTTCCATGAGAGGGGAAGAAAGGACACATTAAAAAATGAACAAACAACAAAACCTTGGGGAGGAGGGAGTACTTAGTACCATGTAATGCAGAAAACTGTTTATCCATAATAGGACATAGCTTGAATTTTCAGCTTTTACTCATAATACATTTGCTGCTGATCCCTGATGAAGGATCAGGCAAAGATGAAGATTCTGAAACAACCCAAGGTTCTTCTACATTTAAATGGAATCACGAGTTCAGTCATCATTTTCAAAGGTTTCCACAGTGATAAATCTACAGTTAATATTATCAGACCCTTGGTAAACGGCTGATTAGGCAAAAATGTCAGATTTTGTTTTTTAGCTTTGGCTGTATCGCATTGTGATTTGAACAATATTTATGCTGGATGTTTTGAGTGCTTGACATTTCTATCAAGTGTAGTGCAGTTCCCAACTTCCTCTATAATACAGTAAAATATCAGCTTTATAAAAGAGCCAATTAATATCACTGCTTGCTGGCAGTGGAAATTATTGTATGTGGCTAAATGTCAGTTGATTCTTAACTTTATACTGTTTTACCCTATACTATTATAGTATTGTGAGACTTATTTATTTTGTGCTATTGATTATTAATTCTCTATATTTTTTTTAAAAAAGTTAAATTATTCTTTTCTTCTCACAAACCCCCTCTCCATTTTCTACTAGCCGTACTAGAGACGCAGCTAAGTAGACACGATCAAATGCTGAGTGTTCATGATATTCGGTTGGCTGACATGGACCTCCGATTCCAAGTGTTAGAAACGGCCAGTTACAATGGAGTATTAATTTGGAAAATTCGAGATTATAAACGTCGGAAACAAGAGGCTGTCATGGGGAAGACTCTGTCCTTATACAGCCAGCCTTTTTATACTGGATACTTTGGCTATAAGATGTGTGCCAGAGTTTACCTTAATGGAGATGGCATGGGAAAAGGGACGCACTTGTCATTGTTTTTCGTCATAATGCGTGGAGAATATGATGCCTTACTTCCTTGGCCATTTAAACAGAAAGTGACTCTGATGCTAATGGATCAGGGACCTTCTCGACGTCACTTAGGAGATGCTTTCAAGCCAGACCCAAACAGCAGTAGTTTCAAGAAGCCTACTGGAGAAATGAACATTGCATCTGGCTGCCCAGTCTTTGTGGCTCAAACAGTTCTAGAAAATGGAACGTATATTAAAGATGATACTATTTTTATTAAAGTCATAGTGGATACTTCGGATCTACCAGACCCCTGACACACAAATGGGGAGGCAGATTAAACAGAAGACAACTCCATTTGGGGGTTTTCTATCAGTTTGTCTTCAATCAGAGGTCCTAAAGCACAAAGGACCACCTTGTGGAACAGAAGGAAGAGTTTGAAGGCATAACTTCTTAGGGTCCAATGGCGAAAGTAGCAACACATTCAGAAATCATACCATGGTATATTTTCTAATAGAACTCATAACACTTAAACTCTGAAGAATTATTAATCCCTCATGAGGATAATTATTACAGTCGGAGAGGCTTTTTTATTTAACTTATCCATCTAGTCAATTGGAGGTGAAAAGACATGTAAAGTATGTGCTGAATAAATTACCTGACTTTTCTTCATTTAGACTAGAATACAAAAAAGTTCACATGTGGATTAGCTGGAAACTGTCAGCATGTTAAGTAAAAGAAGAAATGATGAAGTAATGTTGCAACTATGATATAATTACTTTGAAAAACTAAGTGCAATCGTGTCTGAAATACAGTATATTGTCTTTTTAAGGCCTCATCTGGTCTCTGTTTTAATAATTACTTTGTCAGAAGACCTTGGAAAAATATCCAGGTCTTCTTGAAAGTATCTAAATCAGAATCATATTTTTATTTAAAGTTATATTAATAATTGTTACAGAAAACATTTTATTTTAAAGCAGTTGATAGACTGATATTTCTTGGAAGAAAAATAGAAGATATCAAACACTGGTTATCACTTGTGATAAAAAAAGAAATTATTCAACTATTGATGTTATTTCTCTTTAGAAATGTAAACCTACAATATATGTCGTAGTTAATGACACTATTTCAAAATTAAGGAAAAATCACTCATGGATGCTGTGCATCATTATCAGATTTATAATTGTTTTCACCCTAAAATAGGGCATTTGTTGAACTTTGGAGTTCTAAACGGAATCCTGTACGCTTTTAAAGTTCTGCCTCATGCTTTCCAATCAAGCTATATATATTGCTGACAGCATAAATGTGCAACACCTAATATTTTCAGTGTGGGGGAAGAGGATTAGTGCAGAAAAACAGCCAGTCATGATCCTCTAAGTTCATTCTATACTAACGATCATTGCATCTTATTAAGGATATATGATCAGAAAGCAACGGAAAGATGATGGTGGCTTGCATGCATACATGTGCCTTAAATGTGATGTGCTGCTTATAAACCATAGCTTTGTATTTAGATTAATTATAATACCCGAAATGGTGGTTTTAACTGGACTTCAGGCAAAATGTGTAGCCTTGTCTTCAGAGCCCTTAGATAATTTGCAACCTGCAGAATAGAAGCCAAAGTCCAGGTTTGGCTGCGAGAGCTTCTATGGAATCCATCATGTTCAGGTCCCAAATTTGTATGCACACTGCTCCTATGGAGCTTGGACTTTGACAGTGCCCCTAGGCTAACATGAAGGAAGAAGTCATGCTTCCTCCCAATCCTGTGTATGGAAGGTGGCAGCACTTTAAATTGACTAATCTGAGAATTCTGAATGGATATTAATGTATACGCTAATTGTTGTCTGTTCACGGCAGACTGACAAACATCCTAACCGGGAAATACACAGGTTTCTTTGTTATCACTGCCTGAACTTCAGCAGCAAGCATTTCCCAGCCCTGAAACATGCTGATTGCAACCCACTGCGTTTATCTACTTCTGCTTGTTAGTCTGGAAGTAGAGAGTCCAGTGGCATAGCTTAACTATATACCAGTCATCTGGGTGCTACTTTAAAATCTGAGTGCTGCTTAGAACTAATGTGAGAAGCAAATTACACCTTTGTGCATATGAGAAGGAATTGTGCTGGTCCTCTTGACTGTCAGGGTTGTACCCATTCAGTTTTCCACTTTTGGGGGAGTAGACACAATATTTACCTAGGGCTCAGTTGAATTCATGCCTTTGTAGTTCAGCTTGTCTCTGTTGCCATTGTCTTTTATGGCTGTGCCTTCACAAACTGTGCCTGCAAGAAGTACTTTCCTGTTACAAATATACAGTGCATGCTAAGTGGTCTTCATGGGTTTTCCAGGCACCTGCTAGAATACTGCCTGCTTCTTGGCATCCAAAACATTCCATAGCAATCAGTCTTCCTGTTCTTGCCTTCTACTGTCTAGGTACTATATTCCTTTTATGGTACATAGGTGACAACAGGTGCAGGCTATTGTAAGGAGGCATGTGCTAATGTTTTACTTGTGGCACAGAAGGAGGACTTCCTGCAGAAGATCTATATGGCACTTGCAGTTTTATGCAGGCAGCCTAAGTAAACCCATCACTTATGCTTTAGATCAAAGGTTCACTCAACTTGCATACCATTCTAATAGTCATGAATGTAGGCAGCTGAGCTTTTGTGTATGTGCATCACAGAATTTTACTGAAAACAGGATTCCCAAGTGGAAATGTCCAAAGGGCTCTGCTCCCATTGCTAATATATGTATTGTGAAATTTAAATGAAAATGTGTGGTCACATAAGAACAGTTTCTATCCTGTTTGACTCTGAGACTGATTTAGGTGAGAGTTGTATTATAATCAGGCCCCTGTGTGTTTTGCAATTTTCTAGTTACAGACTCCAGGTCTTGCAGCAGAATTATGCTCCTGAATTCAAGATCGTAAACAAAAAATGAAATAAGAACAAGTGTAAATTTATAGTGTAATCTTCTTAAGTCTGCATACAGCTTATAATAATTCTAGGATGTCTGAATCACCAATTCATTTCAGTATGATGTTAACTCTGAAACCTCTTGATGAAAATTTAAATGTCAACAATAATTGTTTGCTGGTTATTTTACCAGAAACATCAACTAATGAATTTAATCCATAGTTCTCCAAACTTCATTCCATGCTTACTCAGATGCCAGAAGTCCCAGCTGCCAAAACCTCCAGCTTCATTCTGACAGCTTCTGTAATGCAGTAATGTATTGTCAATACAAAAATCTTTTGGCATTGATTTTAATATCAAGATAATCAACATGGAAGCTGATACTAACTGTATTTTCATTTTTAAAAATGATGTGAAGCTGCCACAGAATTTCCAGTTTGCTCCCCTTAATTCTGCAAAATTTAACTATATCCTGCTGTGGAGTACATCAATTACAGTATCCCCATATCTGCAGAACTCGCCAGATATCCCTGGACTGAGAGATTTTTGCTGTATATGCAAGTGGGTTCCCTCAGCTTCCCAGCAGTGAAAGTATGTAGAACTTAGAGAAATAAGGTCATGGAATGGCATTCAAATTTTGGGCAAAGATTCCTTGTGCTTTACTGCCCTGTGAGTCTGGTAAATTTATTAAACATTTTTTTCCCCTGAACATTCAGGTTTTTTTTCCTCCCAGATATTTCAGAACTTTTCTGGGGACTATCTATAAAAATGACTCATAGGGCTATATTCTGCCCACAGATCACACCTTTGAAACCCATGAGCCTCAGTAGAGTTGCATGAACGCAGTGGAGGGTCCATGGTATTTGAGTTACAGTGCTAATCATTACCATCAACAGAATTTAGCAAAAAGATTTAAGTCTACCAGAAATTGGCTGTTGTATGCTATACATACAGTATGCATGCATTTGTTGTTTTAAAAAAAAAGTCTCATTCCAAACAGGATGAAACTATTTCAGCGTTTAAAGACCAATCTGTGATCCTTATACATGACCGCGTTTGCATTACTTCTCCGTTGATCTTAAAGGGATCTTGTTTAGCTGTTGTCTACATGTACGCCTTCACAACTTAAGTCAACTGCTGACTTTTTATATGCAATGTTGATTTCAGCCTTTTACTGTAAATTTGTTCTTCTCAAAGAGAATGTGCAATAGGAAAACAGAAAAGGGTAGCTTAACTTCAGTGATAATGAAATGTAATGGGTAACATGCTAGTTATCTTTTAAAAAAAAAAAAGAAAGAAAGATAAAATGCAGTTTAATTCCTCTTCCAAATTGGTTTTCCAATTTGGAAAAGGAAAGTTGAAGATATGAAATGTGCCTGATGAATCTCTCAAATGCAAGGTAATGGAGATCTGTGTGTGTTGTAGTTTTAAAATACTGAACCCATGAATGTTAGGGTACGATTGTACTGCTCAAGTTGCTACCAACTTGCCCTGGTTATGGCATGTTGCGACTGAGTTTAAAACCCACCTATTTGTTAACTATAGTCCATCATGCTGAATAGGCATTTCACCAACAATGCAGTTTCTAATAACATTGGTGCTCTGTGGTGCAAGACAGAAAAGCCTGTAGGCAATGATAGAGAAGTATTCTGCACCTCCTGACTATATCAAATGTTACTGCAGTCTTGATGCCTTGATGTTTAACTATGCAAATATATTAATAGGTGGAGGGAGAAAAATAATCTTAGCTAATGAATTTTAGTTACAAACCTAGTATCTTAGTTTTCACTGTTACAATGTTATATATATTCCGGGTTTGTCATCAGGCAAAGAATTGTTTGACCATATAGAAGTGGTCAAAATAACCCCAGCCCCCAAATCAGTCTTGGTCGACTGGTGCAAATATTTTTTGCTGCTGTTAAGGGAGACTCATGGATAGTAGCAAGCCCTGGATTCCCACACTCCAGGTATGAAGACTCAGCACACTGCACACAAAATCTGCTTTGTCTCGTGGGAAGTGGGTAGCTTGCTGGATCCTTCTGAAAACTTTATATGGATGCTCCAGGGAGTGGCGTCTAGTTCACACACCCTTCCTTTCACTCAGCTAATCAGGAGATTCAGGGTTTTTTTTTAAAAAAGAAATAGTTGGTGCTGGGCAGCTCAGACGGAAGAGGTGGGGCAAAAGATTGTTTATTTTTTATTCGTGAAGGTAAGAACATGGAAAAACAGCTAGTCCTCTGCCCACCTCTTCCTGGGATTCCTGCGGTTTACTTCAATCAATACCTCTCAACTTCTGTTGACCTAGAAATCATGGAAACTTCAAAAAAAAAAATCTACCCTGGACTTTGGTCTATTTGATCATGATTCTTAGTGCTTACTGTATAATACATAGTGCTTTTCATTTACAAAGCATTTTACAAACAAGAACTAATCCTCACAAGAAGCATTCACGTATTATAGACAGGAAAACTGAGTTAGAGAGGTTGAATGACTTTGCCCAGAGCCACAAAAGGAACTTGTGTTGGAGCCAAGATTAGATTAGAGGTTCCTGTCTCCTAGTACTATGTTCAGACCACTGGACCTCACCTTTTCATGTGTTTATCCCTTAAAGAAACTGAAAAACAAAGTGACTTATTTTAAAGACCCACAGTCAAGACTGTAAGGGCTAGAATTAAACATACGAGCTGTCATGATTTGGGGGCATGCACGTGACAGCCCACGTGTCACCAAACACAGTACTTTTCAATTGTTCTTTTTATGGTGCCCTCATTTTGGGGAATAGATTTTAAGGGCTCAAGTAGGCAGGGGGACCAAAAACCGTTTAAGTGGATTTATTTTGGTTATGTCAACCTTTACTGTGACCCTTTCTCAATCAGTTTAGCTGAGCAACGAAATTGAGGGTTTCACTGTTACTTCCTGCCTTTTAATCTGAGTCTCAAGACAGTGGCAAATGGAGGAAGGTCAAGGAGAAATTTTGGGTGCAAATTCAGAGGCATCCCTTAAATTCTGTTAGAGTTAAGAGAGACAGCACACAAGGGATCTGTTTAATCCTATTTCTCTTCTAATTTATTGGCAAGACTGTAGCGTTTGTCTTCCATCTCATGATCTTAGTGTCTATATTAGGCCACGGTTTCTCCAAGTTAGGATTAGTTCCTTAGGGTTCAAATAACATCTAAATTTCACAGAGCTACACCTGATCCAATATCCCAGGATTTATGTAAATTCAGATCTGGATTCCAACTCTGTGGTTTTGGTTCATCAACCCACTTAAGCAAGGGTTTGTTGTTCGTGGTGTTTTTTTTACCTTTTGGTCCTTTGGAACTAAACTGTTAATTTGGTTGCCAGTTCCACGAGGACTTTTTAACTTCTTAGCAATGCCAGTGTCCACTCGCACCATTGCTAGCAGTGGGATGCGCAGTGAGAAAATTTGACTCTGTCTAAGGGTTACTGAGATAAACCAGCATTGCCATACGTAAAGGTCATTCTCCTGCATAGAGTGTTCTGAGCTTTAAATTCAGTTATAGCTCATTTTTGAAAGGATACATTTTCCAACTATGACCTGTCTCACTGGCAGCGAGTTGTATAATCTGCACTTGTGGAATGGAAAAGTTCAGGCTTCTATCATTGCTGATGCACCATATGATCCACACATTTATTTTCCTTGTAGCTGTTGTGTTAGGGGTTATATAACTTTTCAGTTTTATAGGGGAATAAAGTTCAGGATTTCTTATGAGATATAAAACTCCAATAATTTATTAGTGATTAGGGGATGTTAATATCCCATTCAGAAGCGATGGGTTGTAGGTAGGTCCATTCCTCTCAGACAAGTAGGATAACCTTTAAAACACACGAAACAACATACAAATTAGAAAAGCTAAAAGCTGACATTTCCAAGAAATTCTCTTAAGAAATATCTGTGGAAAATACATGAGTAATCAAGAATAGTGTACAAATTAATGTTTATAAAACTTGTGTAATTTACATTTTATCTCATACTCTTCAGTGAATGGTACACCTGTTATGTTCAGTTTTACAATCCAAAAACAAAGACCAAAGAAGGCCAACCTCATTTGATTGTGTATATTCTGCCTGTCTTAATTATCAATAGCTGTAAGGATACAGTGCAAGTGATCTGGTAACCAGTGGTATTCGTACTTTTTTTTTAAGGGGGCGGGGGGTGGGGACAGACTTTAAAAATGTATAATTTATTGCTCAGCAATAACCATGTTGTTAATAATAATAATAATAATAATAATAATGAAGCAACATGTCTTAATTTTCCAATAGCATTATTCGATGTTGTACTTCAGTTTGTTGTATACTGTGTTTTTTGGTATTTATTTGTGTTTGGAGGTCTTGCTATGTCTTTTGTGTTTTAATGCTAATACAAGGACAGTGTGTATAAGAGTGTAGAATGCAAAACTATGAAATGCTAAACTATCTGTTATTAAAGGAAAAATAAATCTAAGTAGGAAATCGTATTTTTTTAAAACGAGATGGTGTATTGGAATTTGAATGGCTTGAGCTTACTTACAGAGTAAAAATGTAACCTTTCACCTTCTTTGTATTCATTTATATGATGACTACTTAGGGCTCCATGCATACATATAGCTAATAGACCTGTATCACATTATTGTTACAACATTTACCTTCTTCTCCCACAAGATCCTTTGCTTTGGATTTTTATAACATACTAACTTCCACCTGATGAGTCATAAGTAAAATAAAGTAGGAAATTAGTGTTCAGTCTGACATCAAAACAACGGCATTGTCACCAGTAGAGTAGAAGCAATTAAGATGGGTTTTCATGCATTCATATGAAACTGCCTCCCCAGGAGAATACTGAAGGGAGAGAGTGTGGCTTGAATTTCCAAAAACTGTAAATTATTTTTCCTCCAATAAAGTTACTGCATTTTTTGAGTTCTAAAGTTGAAACCAAAAGAAAAGCAGAGAGACCCCCTACAGGCATGTTGGAAATATTGTAACACATTTAGATAGTCTACACAAAGTTACATGCACTCTCAAAATCATGCAAGTTACGTTGTTGTTCATTTACATTTGAGTTTCAGTTGAATGATAAAGGGAATTATTGTGATTACCAACAGTGAGGGGTAAAGCATGTTTTTTTTTTGTCAACCATGCAAACTTCTCAAACTGCAATTAGCTCTTTCTCCTTCTATCCTCCTTCTCTTTCTCTTTCTATCTCCTGACCTCCAGATTTCTCCGTTCCCCTCATTCTCTGTCTTCCTCTTTTCCTTTTCGCTTTCTTTGGCCTATTGTATAGTCCCCACCTTGCCTCTGTGTGTAGAGATATGGGAAGAACCGTACCCTACATCAGTGGTTTTCAAATTCTGGGTTGTGGAATGTAAGGCACTGGGTTACAGCGGCTCTGGTCAGCACCACTGACCAGGCTCTTGAAAGTCCCATCTGCGGTGCTGCCCGGCTAAGGCAGGCTAGCCCCAACCTGTTCTGAGACAGCACTGCGCCCCGGAAGCAGCCAGCAGCAGGTCCGGCTCCTAGGCAGAGGGACCACAGGGCTCTGTGTGCTGCCCCCACCCCGAGCACTAGCTCCACACTCCCATTGGCTGCAGCGTAGCACGGTCTACAGTGCCAGCACAGGAAGTCTGCCTTAGCACCCCCACTGTGTCACTGACCGGGAGCCGCCCAAGGTAAGCCCACACCCCAATCCCCTGCCGCAGCCTGGAGCCCCCTGGAGACCCTGCACCCCAAACCCCTCAACCCTGGCCCCAGCCCTAAGCCCCACCAAACCTGGTGCCCCCTCCTGCACCCTAAACTCCTTATCTGCGGTCCCAGCCTAGAGCCCTGACTCCCCTTGCATCCCAACCCCATTCCCCAGCCCAGAGCCCCCTCCCACATCCTGAACCCCTCATTTCTGGCCCCACCTCACAGCCTTCATCCCTCTACTCCAACCTTCTGTCCCAGCCCTGAGCTCCTCCCAAACCCCTCATCCCCAGCTCCGTTGTCGTGGGCATCAACAATTTTCTTCAACTGGGTTGCCAGAAAAAATGTTTGAAAACCACTGCCCTACGTCACACTCTCCAGTGTCTCTCTAATTACAGCTCTGGTGGCAAGGCTATGTTCTTGGCAGCATCTCTCTCTGCTTAATCCTCCTGTCCTATGAGGTGACTAGAGGTGCAGCCTGGAGAGCTTCCCCCATGACTCTAGCTCCTCCAATAGAGGAGTATGAAGTGGATGCTCAGAATCCAAACAGGTGTCACCTGAAATTGAGAGTGACCCATGCCAATCCAGCAGGCTTAATAGATCAGCATGGTTCCCCGCACGGAATGTAAGGGTGATCAGCTTCATTATCAGCATGAAGGGTATGGCTAAGTGCAGGGCGCAGTCATAGAATCATAGAATATCAGGGTTGGAAGGGACCCCAGAAGGTCATCTAGTCCAACCCCCTGCTCGAAGCAGGACCAATTCCCAGTTAAATCATCCCAGCCAGGGCTTTGTCAAGCCTGACCTTAAAAACCTCTAAGGAAGGAGATTCTACCACCTCCCTAGGTAACGCATTCCAGTGTTTCACCACCCTCTTAGTGAAAAAGTTTTTCCTAATATCCAATCTAAACCTCCCCCACTGCAACTTGAGACCATTACTCCTCGTTCTGTCATCTGCTACCATTGAGAACAGTCTAGAGCCATCCTCTTTGGAACCCCCTTTCAGGTAGTTGAAAGCAGCTATCAAATCCCCCCTCATTCTTCTCTTCTGCAGGCTAAACAATCCCAGCTCCCTCAGCCTCTCCTCATAAGTCATGTGTTCCAGACCCCTAATCATTTTTGTTGCCCTTCGCTGGACTCTCTCCAATTTATCCACATCCTTCTTGAAGTGTGGGGCCCAAAACTGGACACAGTACTCCAGATGAGGCCTCACCAATGTCGAATAGAGGGGAACGATCACGTCCCTCGATCTGCTCGCTATGCCCCTACTTATACATCCCAAAATGCCATTGGCCTTCTTGGCAACAAGGGCACACTGCTGACTCATATCCAGCTTCTCGTCCACTGTCACCCCTAGGTCCTTTTCCGCAGAACTGCTGCCTAGCCATTCGGTCCCTAGTCTGTAGCTGTGCATTGGGTTCTTCCGTCCTAAGTGCAGGACCCTGCACTTATCCTTATTGAACCTCATCAGATTTCTTTTGGCCCAATCCTCCAATTTGTCTAGGTCCTTCTGTATCCTATCCCTCCCCTCCAGCGTATCTACCACTCCTCCCAGTTTAGTATCATCCGCAAATTTGCTGAGAGTGCAATCCACACCATCCTCCAGATCGTTTATGAAGATATTGAACAAAACTGGCCCCAGGACCGACCCTTGGGGCACTCCACTTGATACCGGCTGCCAACTAGACATGGAGCCATTGATCACTACCCGTTGAGCCCGACACTCTAGCCAGCTTTCTACCCACCTTATAGTGCATTCATCCAGCCCATACTTCCTTAACTTGCTGACAAGAATACTGTGGGAGACCGTGTCAAAAGCTTTGCTAAAGTCAAGAAACAATACATCCACTGCTTTCCCTTCATCCACAGAACCAGTAATCTCATCATAAAAGGCGATTAGATTAGTCAGGCATGACCTTCCCTTGGTGAATCCATGCTGGCTGTTCCTGATCATTTCCTCTCATGCAAGTGCTTCAGGATTGATTCTTTGAGGACCTGCTCCATGATTTTTCCAGGGACTGAGGTGAGGCTGACTGGCCTGTAGTTCCCAGGATCCTCCTTCTTCCCTTTTTTAAAGATTGGCACTACATTAGCCTTTTTCCAGTCATACGGGACTTCCCCCGTTCGCCACGAGTTTTCAAAGATAATGGCCAATGGCTCTGCAATCACAGCCGCCAATTCCTTCAGCACTCTCGGATGCAACTCGTCCGGCCCCATGGACTTGTGCACGTCCAGCTTTTCTAAATAGTCCCTAACCACCTCTATCTCCACAGAGGGCTGGCCATCTCTTCCCCATTTTGTGATGCCCAGCGCAGCAGTCTGGGAGCTGACCTTGTTAGTGAAGACAGAGGCAAAAAAAGCATTGAGTACATTAGCTTTTTCCACATCCTCTGTCACTAGGTTGCCTCCCTCATTCAGTAAGGGGCCCACACTTTCCTTGGCTTTCTTCTTGTTGCCAACATACCTGAAGAAACCCTTCTTGTTACTCTTGACATCTCTGGCTAGCTGCAGCTCCAGGTGCGATTTGGCCCTCCTGATATCATTCCTACATGCCCGAGCAATATTTTTATACTCTTCCCTGGTCATATGTCCAACCTTCCACTTCTTGTAAGCTTCTTTTTTATGTTTAAGATCCGCTAGGATTTCACCATTAAGCCAAGCTGGTCGCCTGCCATATTTACTATTCTTTCGACTCATCGGGATGGTTTGTCCCTGTAACCTCAACAGGGATTCCTTGAAATACAGCCAGCTCTCCTGGACTCCTTTCCCCTTCAAGTTAGTCCCCCAGGGGATCCTGGCCATCCGTTCCCTGAGGGAGTCGAAGTCTGCTTTCCTGAAGTCCAGGGTCCGTATCCTGCTGCTTACCTTTCTTCCCTGCGTCAGGATCCTGAACTCAACCAACTCATGGTCACTGCCTCCCAGATTCCCATCCAGTTTTGCTTCCCCCACTAATTCTACCCAGTTTGTGAGCAGGAGGTCAAGAAAAGCGCCCCCCCCTAGTTGGCTCCTCCAAGTCCTGTGGACCTAGTGGGGGAAGAGTCCTTTATCAGCATAGTCTTAATCAAAACACGGTTAAAGGAAAAAGAGACACTGTTTGGGTGGATGGATGTGGGTGTAAGTGGTGACCCTTTCTGCATGCTCGCAATGTGCTTAGCTAGACCGACCCTCCTTTGCTGTGAGGGCTGTAGCTTTGGCATCCATGGGGCAGTGCACTTGATAATGCCACTTCAGGTACTCCGACATTCCCTGTCCTGCACATCGCATTTTCCCCTCGGACTCATACTCCCAGTGCTCTCTGCATGTGCTGCACAGGATTAAGCCCTTGGTGTGTTATCGTCTAACAAGTGTGAAGCAATTGAACACTTATATTTTACGTTCCTCGTTCACTGATGGAGCAGATCACTCTGAAGTAGAGTCCTCAACGGCTGTCCTCAAACCTCTGGGCTCTGTCTAGAAGTGACCCTTCTGAATGTTTTCTGTTTAGTGCAGCTTAGAAGTCACCTTCCAAATATTCTTGGTTTGAGTGGAGAAAAGAAAAATTACTTTCACCATGATCCCCTAACATTACTTCCTTCCTTCCCTCCCCCTCACTCCCCTCCTCCCCCACACACACAGTGAATCCCATTGGGAATTATGTATAAAACTCATTCTTACTTTGAATAGCATAATACAAGAAGATACTTTCTGCAAAACAGGTCACAGGAGGTAACTTACGTTTATATATGGTTTCTTTCCCCAGAAGAGTATAGATTATTTCATTTGATAGAAATACAGTCCTGTCTCAGAGAGAACATGGCAGGTGTTTAACAAATGTTAAACACTATAGTTCAGAACAGGAAATGAAGAGTGCCTCTCCATTTTTATGTACAGGGTG